GCGCGCGCGCATGCGCACGCGCACGCACCGTTGCGCACGCACGGTGCGCACGGCTGCGCGCGCCACGCTCACGCCGCGCGCCCTTGCGCACGCGCGCGCGCGCACTCGCGCGCGCGGCGCGCCCTGCGCGCGCGCCCGCCGCGCCCGCGCCCGCCGCGCCCGCCCACGCCCGGCGCCCGCGCCCGCGCCACGCCCGCGCCCGCGCCAACGCCCGCGCCCACGCCCACGCCCGCGCCCGCGCCCGCGACCGCGCCCACGCCCGCGCCGCGCCCGCCCGCGCCCGCGCCCACGTCCCCACGCCCACCCCCCGCATGCCCGCGCCCCGCCCCGCGCCCACGCCCACGTTCCGCGCCCGCGCCGGCGCCCGCGCCCACGCCCGCGCCCACGCCACGCCGCGCCGCGCCCACGCCCGCGCCCACGCCCACCGCCCGCGCCCCACGCCCGCGCCCACGCCCAAGCCCACGCCCGCGCCGCGCCCGCGCCCGCGGCCCGCGCCCGCGCCCACGCCCACACGCCCGTGCCAAGGGCCACGGCCACGGCCACGGCCACGCCGCGCCCACGCCCGCGCCGCGCCCACGCCCACGCCCACGCCCGCGCCCCGCCCTCGACCGCGCCCACGCCCGCGCCACGCCCACGCCCACGCCCGCGGCCCGCGCCCGCGCCCGCGCCCACTCCCGCGCCCCGCGCCCGCGCCCGCGCCTACGCCCCACGCCCGCGCCCGCGCCTGCGCCGCGCGCGCGCGCGCGCGCGCGCGCGGCGCGCGGCGCGCGGCGCTGCGGCGCGCGGGCACGCGGGGCGCGCGCGGGCACGCGGGCACGCGCGCGCAGGGCGCGCGGGCGCGCGGGGGCGGGAGCGCGCGGGGGCAGGGCGCGCGGGCACGGCACCGGGGCGCGCGGGCGCGCCGGCGCGGGCGCGCCGGCGCGCCAGCACGCCCGCCGGCACGCCCGCCGGCGCGCCCGCTGGCACGCACGCCGGCGCGCGCGCGGCACGCGCGCCGGCGAGCGCGCACGCGCGCGCGCACGCGCGCGCGCGCGCACGCACGCTCGCGCGCACGCGCGCACGCACGCACGCACACACGCACACACGCACACACCGCGCACCACGCACCAGGCCACCAGGCACCACACAACACACAACACACAACACACACCACACACCCACACCCACATCCACGCCCACACCCACACCCACACCCACACCCGCACCCATACTCATACCCGCACCTAGGCCCACGCGCACGCGCGCACTCGCGCCCAGGCCCACACCCGCACCCACACCAGCACCCAGGCCCATACTCATACTCATACGCGCACGCGCGCGCACGCGCGCGCGCACGCACGCAGGCGCGCAGGCGCGCAGGCGCACAGGCGTACAGGCGCACAGGCGCACATGCGCACAGGCGCACGCGCGCACAGGCGCGCGCGCACAGACGCGCAGGCGCACACGCGCGCGCAGACGTGCGCACAATCACGCGCGCACACGCGCGCACACATGCACACGCGCGCGCGCACGTGCACAGCGCGCGCGCGCACACGCGCGCACGCACACGCGCACGCGCGCACGCGCCCACACGCGCGCGCGGCACACAAGCACGCCAAAGCACACAGCACGCACGCACGCACGCACGCACGCAAGCACGCACGCACGCACGCACGCACGCGCGCGCGCAGCGCGCTCGCACGCGCGCGCACCCGCGCGCACGCGCGGCACACGCGCGCGCGCGCACGCGCGCACTCGCGTACGCGATCACACGCGCGCACGCGTACACCCCCGCACGGCGCGCGCGCGCGCCCGCGCGCCCGCGCGCACGAGCGCACGCGCGCACACGCGCACGCGGCGAACGCCCAGCGCCGCTCACACGCGCCCGCGCGCACGCGCGCGCGCCCGCGCCCGCCCTTGCGCCCGCGCCCGCGCCCGCGCCCGCGCCGCGGTCCCCGCTCGCGCGCGCGTGCGCTGCGCGCGCGCCCCCGCGCGCCCGCGCGCCCGCGCGCCCGCCCGTCCGCGCACGCGCGCGCGCCGCGCGCACGCCCACGCTCGCGAAGACGCAAGCACGCACGCGCACACGCACGAACGCACTGCGCGCGCGCACGCGCACGCGCGCCACGCACGCGCACGCGCGCACGCACGCGCACGCGCACGCGCACACGCACACGCACACGCACGCGCCACGGCCCGCACAGCACGGCACACGCCACCGCGCACGCGCGCGCACGCGCAACGCGCACGCGCCACGCCGCACGCGCGCGCGCACGCGCAGCGCGCGCACGCGCGCGCGCGCACGCGCACGCGCGCGACGCGCGCGCGCACGTGCACGCGCGCGCACGCGAACGCGCACGGCACACGCACGCGCACGCGCACTTTCACGCGCACGCCGCCTGCGCGCACGGCGCACGCGCGCGCCGCGCGCGCGCGCCGCGCGCGCACACGCACGCGCGCACGCCACGCACACGCACACGCACACGCACACGCACACGCAAACGCACACGCTCACGAACGCGCACACGCACGCGCACACGCACACGCACGCGCACGCGCGCACGCACGCGCACACGCACGCGCATACGCACGCGCACACGTACACGCACGCGCACGCGCACGCGCACGCGCACACGCAGGCGCGCGCGCGCACACGCGCGCACACGCGCGCGCGCACGCACGCGCACGCAGACGCGCACGCGCGCGCGCACTTTCACGCGCACTTTCACGCGCACGCGCGCGCGCACTCGCGCGCGCACGCGCGCGCGCACGTGCACTCGCGCGCGCGCGCCGGCGCGCACTCACACACGCGCTCACGCGCGCGCGCACGCACGCGCGCACGCGCGCCGCGCGCGCGCCCGCGCGCGCACGCACGCGCGCACGCACGCACGCGCGCGCGCGCCGCGCGCGCACGCGCGCACGCACGCACGCGCGCGCACACGCACGCACACACACGCATACACACACACACGCACACACAGACACACACAGGCACACCACGCACACACGCACACACGCACACACACACACACACGCACGCGCACGCGCACGCGCCGCGCACGCTCACGCGCACGCGCACGCGCACACGCACACGCACACGCACACGCACAGCACACGCACACGCACACGCACACGCACACGCACACGCACACGCACACGCACACGCACACGCACACGCACACGCACACGCACACGCACACGCACACGCACACGCACACGCACACGCACACGCACACGCACACGCACACGCACACGCACACGCACACGCACACGCACACGCACACGCACACGCACACGCACACGCACACGCACACGCACACGCACACGCACACGCACACGCACACGCACACGCACACGCACACGCACACGCACACGCACACGCACACGCACGCGCGCACGCACACGCACGCGCACACGCACACGCACACGCACACGCACACGCACGCGCACACGCACACGCACGCGCACACGCACACGCACACGCACACGCGCACGCACACGCACACGCACGCACACGCACACGCTCACGCACGCGCGCACGCACGCGCGCACGCGCACGCGCACGCGCACGCGCACGCGCACACGCATGAGCACACATTCGCACACTCACGAACCGCACGCTTCGTGGTCCCATAGGGAGCTCCACTGAAGGCCCAGCGGCAGGGTTCGCATGGCGGCGTCGCCTCCATGTCGGCACACTCCCCACACGCCTCGCGGCCCCACATAGAGCTCCACCGAAGGCCTCAGTGGCAGGACTCGCATGCCTTCCTCACATGTTCCGTGGCCCCATAGGGAGCTCCGCCGAAGGCCCCAGTGGCAGCGCCCGCATGCGTCCCCCAGCCCACTTCGTCACACCCCGCACACGTTTCGGGGTTTCCATCCGCGCTCCCCGTGCTCCATCCCTCCCGCGGCGGGCTGACTATGATGAGAAGGTGATATCTTACGTTACTCGCAGCTGCACATGTTTGGGTCCTTCGCCAGGCTAATTTTCTCCAAGTTCCCTTGTCGTAGGCCCCATGCAAGGGTTCATTTCCATCGGGGGAACATCCGGAGCTGTTCCACAACACCAGTCATGGGATTCCACCGCTGCGAATCACTGTTATTGTTGCGTCTTGACCATCCCGAATTCTGCTCGAACGCCATTCTTTTGGACCTCGACACCGCGAATCAGCGTGACAGTTGCGCCCTGACACCCCGACATCGTCCCAAAACACAAGGCTTGTCACGTTAATCGTGGGAATCCTCGGTTTTGTGACGAACTGTCAGGGCGAGTTTAGGCGGCGCTGTGGCAAGAACCGCATGTTGAGCGGGAGCCGCCGTCCATCCGTGAAACCCGCGCAAGCGTTGAAGTCGCATGTGCGCGGCGCGATGGCGAACCCCGCATTTTGAAACCGGACCGCCTTCCATCCGTGAAGCTCTTGCAGACTTCTAAAACGAGTGTGCGCGATGTAAGGCGAGAGCTGCACTGTGTGAGCGTCCCGCCGTCGTTCCGTGAAGCTCCAGCTAAATTTTAAGACGGATGTGCGCGGCGCTCAGGCGAGAGCCGCACTTTGAAAACAACCCGCCCTCCATCCGTGAAACTTTTGCACCTGTTTAGGGCGAGCGCTTGCGTCGGTAAGGCGAGGGCCACATTTTGAAAACGGACCGCCCTCCAGCCGTGAAGTTGCTGTAAAGTATGAGCTTCAGGACCGTAAGTGGTGAGGAAGTCTCAGGCGAAACGCCAGGTCCGCCCTTTCGACTGGCCTCGGGGCGCGACAGGGAGGAGTTATTTAAAAGGAAAAGGGATGAGGAGGAGGAGGCGGAGGAGGAGGAGGAGCAGGATGAGGAGGAGGAGGAGTAGGAAAAGGAGGAGGAGGAGGAGGAGGAAAAGGAAGAGGAGGAGGAGGCAGGGAGGGAGGGAGGGAGGCAGGGAGGGAGGGAAGGGGTGAGGCTCTCGAAGATCGAGGCGGTGGTGGGTGCTGGCGGCGGAGGCCGAGATCGAAGTCGCCGCCGCCCCCCGCGCTCCCCTCCCCTCCAGCGCGCAGGCCTGGCCACCCGAGGGCGTGCCCGAGGGCGCTGCCGCGGGCGCCGCCCTGGCCACGCGCGCGTGGCCGGCCGAGCCGGAGGCGGAGCCGGAGGAGGGCACTGCTCGCGAGACGGGGCTGATTTCGACGCCTCCGATTCGATGATCGGTACTACATTGTTATCCCCATCCCCATCCCCATCCCCATCCCCATCCCCTTCGAGACCCCCACCAAATCGCCTCCCCAGTTGGGGACGCATCCCTCGAGGCCCGAAGGGAAGGACCTCTTTCCGTAAATCGGCCAGTGGGGCCCAGGCCACGCCGCTGGGGATTGGGATCGGTTAAGCGATACTCAGATGAGTTTCGCTTCCGGTCGGTTTCGACTTCGGTTCCGATTCGATTCGGCTTGGGATTCGGATCTGGATGTCGGTCTCTTGCTGGAGGCCTTATTGGCGTGCCGATTTTCCGCGGAGTCGACTTCTCCTGACTCGGCTGCCGAGCTCCGCCGGATCGCCGATTCCCCCTTATCGATTCGATTCCTGGCTCTCCTGCGGGAGGGACGCGTCCCAGACATGCTCGCGTCAACAAGCCCAGACCTCCAATACAGGTATTTTGTTTAACTTCTTTTTCCTTGTTGAATGAAAGCGTCATCTGGCATTCTCCCTCGGCCCCTGGGGCCCGTTATCTATCGGGCCCCAGGGCTATCAGAAGTGAATCTGGGACGACAAACTACCCCAAGGAAGGGACTGGAAGTTCTGGAGCCGCACCCAGTAACAAATACACGGCTGGAGTTTTTGCTGCAGCTTTTGGTTTCTGGGGGCCTTGGGCCCGGGAACCATCGACAAAAACGCCTCGTGGTGAAAAACTTGGCCCCTCGGGAGAGCGTCGGGAATTCCTCGGGACCCCGTAGCCGACACAATCAAGACATCGCATGTCTTGGGGGGTTCAGGGGCCACTTTAGGGGGGATCGGCTCAGGAGGGGATGCATCGGCCCCCGATCGCCCACTCGTCGCCGACGGGAGCCCGATGGCCCACCCCGCCCAGGAGCGTGCGGCATCGCCACCAGGGGCCTATCGCCGACGCATCGGCGGTGCATCGCCGATTCTGGCTCGCTGTTTCCCCCGCTGAGCCGGTCCCCTCCTGACGTGGCCCCGCAAGGGGGGAGGGGATGCTTCCCTGGGGCCGGACGGAAAGGGGGGATGGGGAAAGGGGGGGTTCAACATCTGCTGGCGGGGGCGGTGCTTCTGCGAGGAACTTGACACAGTGTTGACCTGCAGGAGGTTCAACATCTGCTGTGTGCAGCCGGTTTGGGCCCCGCCGCCAGGCGCTTACACCCCTGATGCACTTGCGCCTCCGTCTCCAGGAGGCGCCCAGAAAACAGGCTACGTGTTCGGATTCGCTGACCTCCCTTGATGGGCCTGTTTTCCACCACCACCACCACCACCACCACCACCACCACCACCACCACCACCACCACCACCACCACCACCACCACCATAAGGTGGAGGATGAGGAGGAGGAGGAAGAAGGAGGGGGGGAGGAGGACCCACCCCCTCCAATTTATGGTGGTGGTGGTGGAAAACACACCCATCATCCCTTTGGTATCCCCCCTTCTCATCCGACCTGTGAGGGAGGGGGGGAGGGGAAGCTCCCCAGAGGATTGAAACCTTAGGAAGTGGAGGTCCGACCTCCGTTCAGGACGTCAGTTCCTTGATTATGGAGGCTTATTTCTGCTGCCAAGCATACTGTGGTATGGGGTCCTCGTTGTGAATCCGCAGCTCACCGCGTCCATCCTCCTTCCCTCCTTCCACCCTCTTCCCATCCATCAGCAGCAGCATCCTCACTATCGGCATCATCAGCATCGCCACCATCGACATCACCATCATCATTGCCACCATCATCATCACCACCATCATCATCACCATCATCATCATCATCATCATCATCATCATCATCATCATCATCATCCTCATCCTCATCCTCATCCTCATCCTCATCATCATCATCATCATCATCAGCATCATAGCCACTTTGGCTCTAGCCGTTGCTGGATCCGCGGCCCCTTGCTGGCACGTGCCATCCGCCGCTTCCCGCTCGCTCCTGCGGTCTCCCGATGGTCCATGCTGTGCGTCTCGACTGGATTGTGCAGCAGCGTCGGCTTAGTCGACAAATTTCGGTCGGCGTGCACTCGCACACCGGCAAGTTGAACGCGCATGTCTGCCTGTACTCAACTCGCTCCTGGGGTGTGCAGAATAAGTTGGCCATAGACCTGAACACCCACATCGCGCGCGACCTTGTGTCCTTCACCACTGTGGATTACGGGCGCCAGAAGTCAAACGGGGAGTCCCACGTGAGCCTCTCCCTCAAGCCTGCGCCTTCTCGCCTTCCTGCTGCTGAACATCTCGATGATGATGACGCTCCACATGGTGATGGTGATGGCAGCGGTGGCGACAATGCTCCTGGCCCTCGTGATCGGTGTCTTCTTCGTGACGGTGTTGGTGCACCGCTTCGCAAGGTTCCTCGGACTGGTGGTGGTGGCGGTCTTCCTTCAGCTGGTGATGCTGGCCTTCGACTTCTTGGAGCGGCCGCTCATCCTGCGGTTCTATATGCTGGTGCTGTGCTTCCTGATGATGGTAGTGGTGAACTTCCTGACGGTCGCGTGCATTACGAGGCCTGCTGGGGGGCCCAGCACAGTGAGGGCCACGCGCGGATTCAAATTAGACCTCGCCATCCCTGGGGGGCTGCGATCTGCGAAACTGCCGCCATTTTCGAGGCCTGCTGGGGGGCCCAGCACAGTGAGGGCCACGGGCAGATTCAAATGAGACCTCGCCGTCCCTGCGGGGCTGCGATCTGTGAACCTGTCGCCACTTTCGAGGCCTGCTGTGATCCCCGTTTTCGAAGTGGCTAGGAGTGCTCAGGAATTGTAAATCATCAGCTTTATCAAGCCCTTTTCCTGTAGCCAGTGTCCTGCGAGTCTCCCGAATTCCGTCTGCAGACATATGTAACCCTCGCTCCGTCATCGCCCCCTTATAAAGTATCCTAAACTATTAGCGCCCCGCTTTTGCGCAGGGGTTGGGTACGTCGCCAGGGTATTTTATTTTTCCCTGATGGCGTACCTGGTGGTGCGCGTCATGTTCACGGTGTTGCAAATGCTCATGGAGTTTCCGGTGCCCATGTTCGCCTGCATGCCAAATGCTTTCCATATGATGGTCATATCGTTCAATTTGGTGCAGCTACTCATGTAGTTTCTGGTGCTCCTGATCGCCGGCCTTCTGATGGCATACCTGGTGGTGTTCGTCACGTTCAATGGGGTGCGGATGCGCATCGAGTTTTTGGTGCTCCCGATCGTCAGCTTGCGGAGGCGTACATGGTGATACTCGGAACGTTCATGATGGTGCAGATGCGCATCGGTGTTTCGGTGTCCCCGATCCCCCCTGTCGATGTCGCTCGTGGTGGCGCTCGCAACGTTCATGGTGGTGCGGATGATCATGGACTTTTTGGTTCCTCCAATCGTCGGCCTGCCGATGACGTGCTTGGTGATGCTCCTTACGGTCGCGTTGGTGCAGGTTCGTTTGGTGTTTTTGGGGCCCTTGATTGTCGGTCCGCCGATGGTGATCAAGGGGGCGCTCATGATGTTCAAGTTTGCGTGGATGCTCGCGTTCGTGGGCCTTCCGATTACGTTCGTGAACGTACCATTTTTACCGATGTTCTCCCATCAATGCCGCCACTCGCAGGAAGGTTCGAGGTGAAGACGAAAATATGGATGATGACATCCGCAAGCAAGGTTTCGATTTTTTCCAACTCTAGCCGAAACAAGTGTTTCTTCTGCGGCGGCCTGTGGTGCTTCTTCTGTGACGTCACTCGAAGGTCTCAGTTGGCAAGGCATTAGCAAACACAACAAGGTTACCAACATGTTGGTACATCGACTGCGCCAGGCTTCCAAAGTGATGACATCGTGTGATGTTATCGGCCGTTGCGTTTCTGTACGCGAGGACGTTATCACCAACCTTTCGTGTCGCTCAGTTGTCGTGCCGTCGCTCTCATGGCAGTCGCTTCACCAGAAGACCTCGTCGGTTGCCACTTGCCCAGGTCCAGGAATCTGCACCGAGATGACCGCAGTCGCCCTGCTCCAGACGCTCCAAACCCAGCTGGGTGACCCAAAGGAACAGCCAGCCTCATCCTCATCATCATCACCACCATCATTACCACCACTGTTATCAGCATTGTTCTAGTCGTCAGCATTAGTACTTCATCGACATCACCATCACCATCACCCTCATCATTACCACTACCAACATCAGCGACGACAGCATTGCCACCGTCATCACCAACGTCAGCACCATCGCCTTTTCCTTCGTTATCACCATCATCGTCACCATTCAATCACTTGTCACAAGCCTCTTTGCACATTCTTTCGCCGCCTAGGGAACTTCACCGAACACCTCAGTTGCAGGGTTAGCATGGTTTGCCTATTTTCCCACACCGACGCGCGAGGGGGAGGAAGGAACGCAGGAGGATGTGGAGGACGAACAAGGAGAAGGAAAACGAGGAAGAAGACGAGGAAAAGGAGGAGGAGCACCAGCAGCAATAGTAGTAGTAGTAGTAGTAGTAGTAGTAGTAGTAGTAGTAGTAGTAGTAGTAGCAGCAGTAGTAGTAGTAGTAGTGGTGGTGGTAGTCGTAGTAGTAGTAGCAACAGTAGCAGTAGTAGTAGTAGTAGTAGTAGTAGTAGTAGTAGTAGTAGTAGTAGTAGTAGTAGTAGTTGTAGTAGTAGTAGTAGTAGTAGTAGTAGTAGTAGTAGTAGTAGTAGTAGTAGTAGTAGTAGTAGTAGTAGTCGTAGTAGTAGTAAGA